AGTTGTAGTTCTCTAGTTGTCTCCAAAGACAACCCCACATAAAGCACATTACAATTACCCAAATGGTGATCCGGGCATGCTAAAATTACAGGACTAGATTACATTTGCTATGTTTTACTCAGCAATAAAAGGAAGAGAACAACACTGTAAATTGTAATAGTGCCATACTGAAGAGCTCCCATTTAAACTTGCAGTGTTAGATGAAGCTACAAGTGCATTGACAGAAGATGTAGAGAATGAAATGTATAGAATCTGCATCCAACTGGGAATGACTCTGGTCAGTGTGGGCCATCGCAAAAGTCTGGAAAAGGTAAGAGTGATGAGTACAGGGGGATAAAGGAAAATTATTTTTAGTCATAATTCTCATATTGTGTTTACTATTTAATTTCAGTTCCATAGCTGGATTTTGAAACTTTATGGAGAAGGAAAATGGGAGCTAACAAGAATTGAGAAACCCTGAACTATTCCCAAACCAATCACAGAAAATATTGGAGTTAAAGTCTCAAGTTAAAGTGCCTTGGAATCAGCATGCTTTAATGGAGAAACTATGGTTTGAAAGTTCAAAATTACAAGTGCCAATAATGGTTTCCAATTTTAAAAAAAACCATGGGGAGGAAAATTTGTAACCATTTCTTATCTTATAAATTTGTTTCCAATCCATTGTTTTGATTGCTGTACCCCTTATACAACCTTTCATCCAGAAGGGAAAGAAAGAGTAATTTTGTTTTATCTGTGGAATTCATTGTGTGATTGGAATTAAAGTTCTGCCTAACTGGAATTATGTGGCCTATCTACATAAGGACGGTGAATGTAGCACAGTCTCTTTGACTATAATTTACATCAACTAAAGCTTCCTGAGTAGAAGGAAGAAAGAGGCTGTGTAATTTCTATGATCTGCCCTCTATATTTGGAGTTGCTAGCAAATGGATCAAATATTTTGGCCCTAGACCTGTCCAGTCAGACTGTTTAAAGATTTTATTTGATGCAACATAACAATGAGTTTTGTAAAATGTCAGCGCCACTTGATAAAAAAATCAAATAAGCAACCCTGGACAAGTTGTGAAGTACAAGATAGAGTTTTGCAGAGGGTAGGGATGGGGGAGAGTTTTTTCAGTGGTTCTACTCCTTCCGCAATGGTCATTCCAGTCTGTGATGGTAGAGAGGTCAGTGGCCTCTGACGTGTGAGATGCCACAAGGGCGTCTCTTTCCTGTTCATCGTCTATATGAAGCTTCTAGGAAAAGTCACCTGACATTTGGGGGTTCAGTGTTAACAGTATGCTAATGATAGTCAGTGATATCACACTACTAGCCAGGCTTTGAGGAGGTGCTATCAATGTCCTTTCCCAAGACCTGGATGGCAGAGAAAAGACTGAAAATGAAGCTTAGTAAGTTGGAGTTGGTGTGAACTCAGAGTTCTCTGTTGCCACAACAGTTGTTTCTGATGAGCAAGCACCCAGATATCTGCAGGACCACATACTCCAATCAGTCATGAACTGATCAATCAGAGCAAACACAAACTATCACTCATCCTATATTTTCAAGAGGTTCAGGGACCTGAAGCAAGAAGACACTGGTTTTTCAGTGGCAGCACCATGCTACCGGACAGCTTGCTGGTAGAGATCACTAGCTACTAAAGATGAAATTATTTTGGAGAGACTTCCCCTAATTTTACTCTGCCACATTTAGCTTGTTTTATTGTTTGTATATTTGATGGGGTTTTTTTTACTATTTTTTATACTGTAGATGTTTTACTTGGTTTTTATAGGCTATCTATGTAAGCCAGCAAGCATCTTTGGCTTGTGGCAAGATAGAAATGTGAAAAATAAAATACCTCTGTCCATCTGACAAATTGTGGCAGTGTTTTTCAACTACTTGTTTAGCTTACAAGGAGGAGGGGCAGAATTATAACCTTCAGAACTGTTAAAAATGCAAAATAATCAAGGTTGCTATATGTATGGAAAGCATACCTCCATTCATTCCTGCAGACAGCTCTTACCAAAATGACCAAAGATGACTTTTTAAGACAGAAGAGAATACACATTCTTACTAGGAGGTAGCAGAAGATGTGTGTATTCTTTTGTTAGATTCTTCGGACCATTTTTAAAAGGATGTGCTCTATTTGTTTTTATTAGAATTTAAAAGGAAAGGAAATTTGATAAACAATACTTGAAAAAAATTATATTGCTTTAATGAAGCAGAATGAAGCTATTATAAGACTTCAGATAGGCAGCAGGAAAACTTGTATACATTATCTTCTACATTTTGTCGCATGTCCTTTAAATTATACATCCTCCTTTTTCCTTTGAAAAGCTCCCCAAAATCTTCTAATAAAACCCAGAGCATTCTTCTATTCCCCAAAGTTCGATGTTATGTAAAGATCCTCTATAAATGTATTTAAATATGGCCATTTTTCCTTAAAGTTTGAAATTTTCCTCCCAGCAGACTTTAGTTGCTTGAAGATACTTAATTTTCTAATGCATAAACGGTGGAGCAAATGGTGAATCATCCAGGAATGGTTTAGATAAGTAGTGAATGTTGTGTAGAATATTAAATAGCATATTCTTCAGCTATTACTTAAGAGTTGTATTCTCCCCATTTATTTTTTGTTTTTGTCAGTAATGAATAAGCTTCTCCTTTGGTTCCGCAAGGGATTTTCAGAGTAGAAAGACTGCTGTTGGAACAGTAGTCTTATCATTGTGGCTTCTTGAGAGCCAAGATATTTTGGGCTACTGGCTCTGGTCTTTCTGCAGAAGTTTCTTATGTCCCTCAATTATCTCTTTCACCGTGCCATGATCATCCAAGGTTGTCAGATCTCCAAGTTCATCTGCTTTGTTTTCTACAATCTTCTTCAGAACCCTCCGCATAATTTTTCCTGAACGAGTCTTAGGCAGGTGTCTAGCTACCTGAACCAGAAAAATGAAAGGAAAGATTAGAGCACCATCAGGAAATTCACCCCATAAATATTAATTTGAGAAGAGATATATTAGTAATCTTACAAAATCTCACTTCTGTACCTACTTTCTTTCCTGCAGACGTATGTAGTTGAGCATGTCTTCTTCATTGTATGTGCAAATGTAGGAGGCTTTGCTCAATTCCATTTCTTACCAAGTTACCAGCATACAATGGTAACAGAAAAAAAGGTGTTTTGAGGCTATGATACTTTTTCTTTGGTGCATCTTAGCACTTCAGAATTGGTTGCCAAGAAAAAAGTAAAATCAGTATCTCAATTAAATTGGTTACTTGCTCAGTAAACTTTCTAATAAAAGAAAGCCAAATGTGGATTTGTATAAGGGCCTCCTCTGACATCATAATCTTCAGTGGGAAGTTTATGGAAAGAGTGAACTAACCACTAACAAGAAAATGGGAAAAGTCAAGGGTTTGAGATGAAATAAAAGTTAAGGTCTGGAGAAATTTTTAGTTAATGGTTATAAAATCAGGGAAGTTCTATAGTCTGATGAAAAGATTTATTCCTACAAGGGGTTTCCTTGTGGTTCTGGTTGGATTCACACATCTTAAACCATAGTTTACTTAATCATAGATCGTTGACTAAACCATAATTGGCCGGAAACACACCACACACTGAGCCATAAACTCTGGCGAGGTTCATATTGTACATAAGCCACAAGTGAAGTAACCAAAGAATGAGTCAGCATGTATGAACCTGGTAATAGTATGGTTTTTTTAACTTGCAATAGCATTTATGTGTTTATAAAATATCTTTAGTAATGTAATCATTTCATAGCTACAAGTCTATTTAACCTATAAAAGCCAAGCTAGAATAGGCGGAACCAAAGGTGGTATTCAGCAGGTTCTGACCAGTTCTGGAGAATCAGTAGCAGAAATTTTGAGTAGTTCGGAGAACCAGCAAATACCATCTTTGACTGGCCCCTCCCCCATCTATTCTTTGCCTCCCTGGGTGGGTCTTCTTTTGTTGCCCTGCACAGGAGAATGGAGAAAGGAGGTTAGTGGGGTGGGGAGGGAATGGAGATTTTGCAGTAACCTTCCCCCAGGAGTGAGGAGGGAATGGAGAGTTTACAATATCCCTCCCCTGCCATGCCCATCAAGCCACGCCCACCAAGCTATGCCATGCCCACCAAGCCACGCCCACAGAAACAGTAGTAAAAAAATTTGAATCCCACCACTGGGCAGAACACTATAAGATTTCTATCCCTGCTGTAATACTTTTGAAGTGCTTTAGATACTCATTAAATTAACCTGATTTTTCTTTTATATGCTTGATACTGAAGGTAACATTCCTACTTAATTTTTTGTTTTAATACTGAAACCATTATAGTTTGTTTTGTTTGGCTAATCAATGGAATGCAAATCATACAACTAAGCAAATCTAAAATATTCTGAGCAAATGATCAATGACAGCAGAAGAATTAGATTATACTAGACTTTTTTTTTTGCAAGCACATTAAAGATGTATTTGCAAAAAATTGCATTGGTTATCCAAATGCTTTGAATTTTCTTGCAACTTTGGGGAAGTCACACTTTCTCAGTCTAACCCACCTCAGAGTTGTGGAGAAAGTAGGAGGAGGAGGGTGCATTGGATATGTTTGTCACCTTCAGTTATTTTTAAAAATACTAAAGGCAGGCTCCAACTACATTTTTCAAAAAGGTTCTACCTTCTGTCAGACTACAAATTTTCATTGTTGGGCAGAATGAAAATATGCATTAGGAAAAAAAAGGTTTGCCTGTTGTTACCTGAACATGGTCTGGTGCTGCATATTTTGCTATCTCTTTTGAAACAAGACTCTGGAGTTCAGAAGCCAGGTTCTCTTGGGAGAATTTAAGGCCTTTTTTCAGCACAATGAATGCATAGGCGCCTGTTTTTAAAAAAGGGAAGAGCAAAATAAACAATCATCAAAATTAGACTTTCACACCAAAATGGTCCCCTTAGCATGCAAGAAGCTGAATCCCCCATTGGCTGATATTGAGTAGGAAGTAAGAACTATTATTAATTTTACTTTTGAGTTGCTGGTTAACTCATACCATTCATACAAATTCTAAATAAGTCTATTGGAACATTTTTTTGTTATTGTCCTGTGAGGTAAGAATCAAGATATGCAACTTCATGCTTTAGCATTCTTCTTCCCTTTCTTACTATAGATTTTACTGCAAATAAATTCTGTTATCATCTCTCAGCCAAGTCTTGAGAGCTTGATCTTCACTTCAGTCGTCATTAAATGACCCCATGAAGGCTTTGAATGGAATCTATCCCAAGCATGCAATAAGTATGCATTATGCAAAAAAAAATCTGTGGGATGATCATTCCATATGCTAGGGAAAGCAGAGTCTATTAGAGAAATAGCAGTTATTAGCAGCCAAACTGACTCACCCACCTTCGCCTTTGATTTTATGAGGATATCCAATCACAGCTGACTCTGCCACTGCTTCATGTTTATTCTGGAACATAAACAGGTCTACAATTTACTGCAAGGATCCTGACAGGCTGGTGGAAACCTGTGGTTCACTAAGCCTGGTGTGGTCAAAACAAAAGGGATAGACTTGCAAGGCGAGGCTCTGAAGTCCCAGCCTTTTTTCCTGGTGCAGGTTAAGTGATTATGTGATAGAAGAGAAGTTGCATGAAGAAGTACCTCTAATGAGACTTTGAGGTGTAGAACTAGAGTAAGCATCCACTTTAAGGGCAATATGAGTCAAAAAGACTAACCTTGCTGGAGATCAGAGGTGGTATTCAGCAGGTTCTGACCAGTTCTGGGGAACCAGTAGCAGAACTTTTGAGTAGTTTGGAGAACTGGCAAATGCCACCTCTGACTGGCCCCGCCCCCATCTATTCTCTGCTTCCCGAGTCCCAGCTGATTGGCTGGATCTTCCTTTGTTGCCCTGCACAGGAGAACTGAGCTGGAAAGCAGGTTAGTGGGGTGGGGAGGAAATGGAGATTTTTGCAGTAACCGTCCCCTGCCACGCCCACCAAGCCACGCCCACAGAACCAGTAGTAAAAAAAAATTGAATCTCACCACTGCTGGAGATGCTTTAAAGCAGTAAATATTTCCAGTGTACAATGTATCATACAGTGTAATGTTATTTGGCAAATTAATATCAGGAGGATCGGAAAGCATTGATGTGTATTACTTGACTAAGTTTTGTAGTGGCTTTTTTTAAATAGGTCAAGAATTGTATATACGTGTATTTCATATACATGTATGTACACCTCTACTTTTCATTGTGGTGACTACTGAAGATACAATGAGAATTTTTCACTAGATTTTTAAATTCTGGTATCCCCTTAAATACATTATTTCTGGAATCATTCATTATTCTTATCATTTTTAAGGCCCTTTATATTTTGGTTAACAATATTGATTATGAAAATTACAATACTGCAAGTAAAAAACCACATACCCTGCAGTTATGAACTACACTTCAGTTTCCAAAAGGAAAATGAGGCAGGCATCTTTATGTTTTTCTGGCAATCAAATTTGTCTTGCATGTTTTGTTGTTTCCCACCAATCTTAAGTCAGTGTGGAAGGAGCAGCGAAGCATACAAAGGTCTGGAAAGCCACAAGCAATTTCAGCAAGAGGGTCAGCTCAAATAGAAGCAGCTGCCCAGATAAATTACATTTTAGTATGTTCTTAGGTGACTACGAACATGTTGTAATAACTGCTAGTTTTCCCCATGCCTCTTACCACAACATCTTCTATCTCAGCAGTGCCTAGCCTATGCCCGCTGATATTGATGACATCATCCAGGCGGCCTGTCAGCTGGTAATATCCTTGACTTGTCCGATAGGCCCCATCTCCAGTGAAGAAATATCCTAGGATGAGAAACAGGGCAAGGCAGTTATTTTCCTTTAGAGAGTCTAGAAGGTTCCTACACAGGATGAACACAAGAAAATATTTCTTCTTCATAGCACCTCCTTTTAAACTAAGCAATACAGGTTGTTTATAAAATTTATTGTTCGCCCATTTTAACCACAAGGTAACTCTGGGTGACTTGCAATCATAAAAATCTCTCTCATTAAAAAATAAATAAATTAAAATCAACCGTTAAAATTGAATTACAAGTAGGGAGGATGGGGAGAGGGTGGGGGGAGGTGAGAGATTTTGTTAATCAACCACTTCCGCTATGCTGTCCCGCCATTGGGGCTCCAAGCAAGGACTTAAGGCCCTTACAAAAGATAGGCTTGGGGCCAACCTCACATTGAGGGGCAAG